TGATCAAATGGGCTCTTTTGTGATTCAGAAAGCCTCTGCTCCTCCAGACAACTGGCATGCTCTTTGTTATTCACCCCAGAGAGGAGGCAGCCAAACTGGAGCGCACTCGGATGGAAAGAGGCATTCCCAATCAGAAATGCAGATGGAGCATCACTTGTGCAGTGTAAACAAAACAGCCCCCAAGTTTGGGAATCTGCTGAAAGGCCAGGCCAGGGCTTGGGTGGGGTTTGCTGCCCTCATCATCACCCTGAGAGTGAAAGCTCAGCGCTGCCACACCCGCAGGATGTGATGCCAGGGAAGATCCTGGCTCTGAATCCCGCTCTGGTTTGGGATTTGAGATGTTTCACTGGAGATGAACACTGGTTGAGGGGGGCAGAAGCACTGCTAAGCTTGGAAAAGATTCTGGGATTGAGTCCCAGCCCTGCCCCATCCCCACCGTGTCCCCACCCCGAGCCCCGAGTGCCACCTCCAGCAATTCCTGGGACCCCTCCAGGGATGGGCACTGCAACCCTCCCTGGGCACTGCCAAGGCCTGAGCTCCCTTTCCATGGGGAAATTCCTGCTGCTGTCCCCCCTGAGCCTGCCCTGGCCATCCTGAGGCTGTGAAGAGGATGCAGCGCTGCCCACACTCTGCTGCCCTGCACACAAACCCTGCGGGGCTGGGCTGGAAGGACTCTGGAAATCATCGACTGCCAGAGCAGGGCCACCATGAGCAGCTTGCACAGGATCAAATCCAGGGGGGTTCTGGTCATCTCCAGCTGGGAACGAGACTCCACAACCTCAATGCCAGGACTCGCCTTCACAGCCCTGCCCTGAACCCTCTCCAGTCGTTCCTTTCCTCTCTTGGCCTGAGAGATGGAAACAAAAACCCAAGCCCAGAATTAGGTTTCCACGAAGGATCCAAGCCCAGGGAAAACTGGAGCGTTAAGGATGGCAAGGAAAGAAAAGAAACATTGCAGTTGTGTGGATCCAAGGTGTATCTGCCCCCTGGACACCACCCACAGCTCCAGCTCCTCCCAGCCTCAAAGTCAAGATAAAAAGCAAAAAAAGCCTGTGAAAACTTTAAGAACTTTCATGGTTAGAGGAATTACTGTGTGCAGGGGATGTTTCCTCAGGATAGAATGCACAACAAGCAAGAACAAGTTCAGGGGAGAATGATCCAGGTGAGGTTGGTTCCTCAGGTTCCTCAGAAATTCCCAATGCAACGCCTTGTGTCTCCTACAACTCAGGCTACTAACCCACAGCAACGCAAGATTTTGGGGTAAAATCCACATTTTCCACTATTTCCACCTGCTGAGAGCCCCCTGTCCAAAGCACAAGCTAAACCAAACTTCCAGAAGCACAGGAACAGAAGCTGTTCCCGAGGACACTAATAAATAATCCAAGCCTCCTCATCTCCTGCTGCCTGTTTTCCACCCCCTCCCCACTTTGCATTATGCAAAACAGCAAAATATTATCATCCTTATAGCATCCTCCTTGAAAGGCTTCAAATATCATAAAGGAGTATTGTCATAATGAGGTTAATGACAATAGGGTTTGGGATATCAAAGAGCCAACACGCAGCTGCTTTTCAGCGTGGAGTGATGGAGCAGCAGAGCTCCGTAATGAGGGAGAGACTTTTTGGGTTACGCATTTTAATGAGCCGGCAATCAGCGAGCTCTGATTTGCATTTCACAGCCGTTCCGATGGAGCAATCCCTGCACGGAGAGGGGAAAAGCATCCCGACTTCTGCGGGAATTACACCGGGAACATGCACAGGAGATCAGGAGCGTTTAGAGACAAAAGTGTTGGGGCATTGGCGAGGGGAGGGAAAAGCGAATGCAATACCTGAGCCTCCTGAGCTGTGGGATGAGGAGGAATAACCACCACGTGTTCCACATCCCTTACTCCTCATTTCTGTCTCCCTTTGCACCTCGGAGTAGTGAGGCACAGCGGGGAGGGTCTGGCACAGGTACCCAGAGATGCTGGGGCTGCCCCTGGATCCGAGAGGCCAGGCTGGACATCGAGAATGGTGTCCCTCTGGAAAAGTGGGGATTTAAATGGATTTTGGGATCCAAAAATTCCTTCCCTGTGATGGGCTGGGCTGAAATTCCCAGAGAAGCTGGGGCTGCCCCTGGATGCCTGAAGTGTCCAAGGTCAGGCTGGAGCAGCCTGGCGTGGTGGGAGGTGTCCCTGCCCATGGCAGGGGTGGCACTGGATGGGTTTGAAGGTCCCTTCCCACCCAAAGCAGGGATTTGGGATCTGCTGCAGCAGGAGCTGGGCTGTGCTGAGCCCTCAGCATCCCCGGCTCGTTGCAGCTCGCTCCATCCTGAGCTGTACCTTAAGAACAATGCATTCCTCTATTAATGTTCCTTATGGGAGACATAATCAGCTTCATTAGGAGTCATTATTATGGGAAAACCCGGGAAAAAAACAGCACGTCCAGGGAGGCAGCGTGATCAATTAAAAACCTAGAATATGTGACTAATATTGACAGATGTTTACAGGAACTCACTGGGAGCTCTGGCAGCTCCCAGGGGCACAGCCCACGCCGTGCCCACAGCCTTCCTGGGACAGCCAGCCCCACACAGAGCTGGGCACTGGTGTGCCCTGGGAGCACCAACAGGGCCACCATCACCGGCTGTCATGGTGTGCAGAGATGTCCCACTGCATCCAGAGATGTCTCACTGCATCCAGAGATGTCTCACTGCATCCAGAGATGTCCCACTGCATCCAGAGATGTCTCACTGCATCCAGAGATGTCCCATTGCATCCAGGGATGTCCCACCACGTCCAGAGATGTCTCACTGCATCCAGAGATGTCTCACTGCATCCAGAGATGTCTCACTGCATCCAGAGACGTCCCACCACGTCCAGAGACGTCCCACTGCATCCAGAGATGTCCCACCACGTCCAGAGATGTCCCACCACGTCCAGAGACGTCCCACTGCATCCAGAGATGACCCACCATGTCCAGAGATATCTCACCACTGTACCATCACTTCCAGAGATATGTCACCACATCCAGAAATATCCCACTGCATCCAGAGATGTCCCACCACATCCAGAGATGTCCCACCACATCCAGAGATATCTCACCACATCCAGAGACATCCCACCACATCCAGAGACATCCCACCACATCCAGAGACGTCCCACCACATCCAGAGAAGTCCCACCACAGGAGATGCTGTGTCCCAGCCCTGCACCCTCACTGTGACCCCTCCAGTCACAGAACTCTCACAGCAAACTGTGCAGGAAGATTTGTCTGAAGCCAAAAATAAAAATATTAACTGCTGCAGTCAAAATCTGATCGTTTGGAGCTGATAATCGTGATTTTGTTAATTAAATTAAATTAAACGGGTTAATTTGGAGGATTCAAAGCCTCAAACTAACAACCAACAGCGCCCTTTGCTGTCCTGGCAGCCCAGATTTGTTATGGGGCAGCACGGAATGGGCAGATTGGGGCAGACAGACCTTTCAAAGTCACACAACTTCCACCAGCAGAGATGGCCAGGAGAGCTGGGGAGCCCCTGGGATGGTCCCTGCCCAGCAGCAGGGCAGGCACAGCCCTGGGTGACACCAGGAGCCCCTGGCAGGGTGCAGGACACCCTGGGCCGGGTGCTCTGGTGATTTGGAGCAGTTTTTTGAAGCTCCAGGTCAAACACAGCCCAAGCTCCAGCAGCACCACCCCCTCTGCCGAGGCTGAGCATCCTCACCCGTAAGGCCCGGGAAATTACAGCCTCTGCTTGGTGAGATGATATTTTTAAGCCTTTACAAACAAGGGCTTGATCTTCCTAAGCAGTTTGGATCCTCTGTGCCACACACACTGACAGCAGCAGCTGACTGGGCTCGGGGCTGATCTGGCACAGCAGAGCAGGAGCTGGGCTGGGCAGGAGCTCAGGCTGTGGTAGCCACTAAAAGCTTTTCCCAGGGCATCTCTCGGGGTGGGAGCTGAGAGCTGGAATTCAGCAGGACTAATACATCAGCGCTGGGCAGTCGATAGCATTGATTTTGGTGGGACCAGTGCTTCAGTCAGTTACAAAGAGTTGTTCCAGGAAGAGCTGGGTAACGGGGAGAGCTCCAGGAATGCCGGAGCCAACAGCTCCCGGGGGAGGATTTCCCAGTGGTGCCGGAATTACAGGGAGCAGGGAGAAGCCTTGCTCCCTTTTAAGCATAACCCCATCATTAACCCCAGAGGAATTGTCCCTGCAGGCCCTGGGGGAAAAGGCATGGGGAGCACAGAGATCCCCCCAGTTTAACACCGACAGCTGGGACTGGGAGCGGCTGATTTGTGCTTTAAAGGAAGGAAAACAAAGTGCACGGTAGTGTGAAACTTCAGAAGGAAGCAGAGTCTAAAGAAAGGATATTTTTAGAGTATTTTCTTATAAAAAATCATGTGGCAGCAGGAGCAGGGCAGTGATTTTTTCCTCTGTACTTGGCCACACCTTAAATGCTGCATCCAGTTCTGGCCCCCCAGGACAAGAAGGACCTGGAGGGGCTGGAGCGTGTCCAGGGCAGGGAATGGAGCTGGGAAGGGGCTGGAGAATTCCTGAGGGAGCTGGGAAGGGGCTGGAGGATTCCTGAGGAGCTGGGAAGGGGCTGGAGAATTCCTGAGGGAGCTGGGAAGGGGCTGGAGAATTCCTGAGGGAGCTGGGAAGGGGCTGGAGAATTGCTGAGGGAGCTGGGAAGGGGCTCAGGCTGGAGCAAAGGAGGCTCAGGGGGAATTTCTGGCTCTGCACAAGTCCCTGGCAGGAGGGGACAGCCGGGGGGATTTTGGATCTGCTGCCAGGAACAGGGACAGGAGGAGAGGGAACAGCTCAGGATGGCCAGGGCAGGCTCAGGGGGGACAGCAGCAGGAATTTCCCCATGGAAAGGGAGCTCAGGCCTTGGCAGTGCCCAGGGAGGGTTGCAGTGCCCATCCCTGGAGGGGTCCCAGGAATTGCTGGAGGTGGCACTCAGGGCTCGGGGTGGGGACACGGTGGGGATGGGGCAGGGCTGGCACTGCCTGGATGGGAGGGATTTTCCAGCCCCAGGGATTGCAGGGTTGGATTCTGTGGCTCTGCATGTGAAGGAAATGCACAACAGAACCCTGTGTACAGGACAATTCATGTCTTGGCCATTGTTCTTGATCTCAGCTACCTGCTCACTCCTTCTCCCAGGCAGTTTCCATCAGGTTTCCTTCTCACCTTGCATGAATGAGCAATGCATGGTTTATATGGATATATGAGAAATGTTTACATGGATAAATGTTTACAGCTCCAGCATGGGACACGATTGCATTGGCTTAGCAGGAAGTTCCTTTTCAGAGGAAAACTCATTTTCTTGCATTTGGACCTACAGGCTGGTGCAATCCTAAATGGAACATGGATATTACGAGGAAGTGGGAACTCAGCCATGAGCAGTATTACATTGTCTTTCTATTATTTTATTTCAAGGTGCACCAGAGGCTCAAAGGGGTTTGTTTAAAGTAATTAATCAGAACAATTTGTCAAAAACAGAGAACACCAGTGCTCACAGGCTGTGGCAGACATTGGAAATGTTCCATATTTGTAAGAGCAATGTTCTGCTTTCAAATATTGGTACCCTGGGTAGGGATTAATTCACTTATTTTTAAGCGTGGTGAAACATTCATTTCAGCAACTACTACCTAGAAAATACATTTCCCAATTAGTGTTGATGTCTGAATTGCCAGTCAGGAGGCACAGGGAGTGCTGAGCCCTGCTCAAGGCAGCTCTGATGCATTATTGATGCTGTTTTCAATATCAAACGTGCCAGGAATCAGATGCATAGCCTCTTCTCCCAGCATCAAAAATGTGATGACCTTTCTGTTCTATTAAGGTGATCTGTCTGATAGCTGCCCCTTCTATGTAATTCATTGGAAAAATAAAGGCAAGAGCAGGTGCCTGTTTTTCCAGGGAATGTCTGGTGTGCCCAGTGCCGTGGGGAGGGGGAGCTGCCCTGTCCCCGTGCTCGGTGTTGGTCTCCAATGTCCCCACGTGTCCCCAGGGTGACAGCAGAGCAGCGCTGTGCCCTCAGCCCGGGATCAGCCTCCTGCTGCCTGTGTCTGGCTCAGCACTCACTGCTGGCTGGGGAGTGTGTCCATGGGCTGTTTCCCCTGGTATTTGGGATAAATATTCTCTGGAGCCTGGCCCCAGCTCCAGCTGGCTGCTGGGGGTGGCTGTGGCAGGCACTGCTGGGGCACAGGCCCCGCTTTCAGAGCCTCCCACAATGGCTCTTGTCCCCCTGCACACGGTGGCTGGCACTGGCAGCTGTCCTTCTCCCTCCAGTCCCATTTCCATCCTTCCCTGGGGGTGACAGCCTGGCGTGTCCGTCCCTGCAGGCTGGGGCAGCTGCCAGGGCTGAGCTCTGCCGTGCCCAGCATCGCTCCTTGGCCGTGTTTGTGTCCCCTCTGCTCCCCCAGGATCCTCCACCATCGCCCTCGGGCCCCTGGGCATCTCTCAGATGGTTCAGGGGGCACAGTGCTCACTCCTGACTGTCCTGTGCAGGGCCAGGAGCTGGATTCCAAAGATCTAAAGATGCTTGGCATGAAATGTGTCAGTTCGTACCGTTAAGCCTTTGTAATGTTTCAAAGAAAATTAAAGAGCTGCAATGCTGTAAATATCAGGATCTGTGGTTCTACAAATGAACCTCAGACAGAATTCTCACGCACTGAACCCTGCTCCATGGTACCAGCTCCTGAGTCTCCTTTTCTGTAAGCACACAAATGTAAATTCTCCCAGCCCTCGTCTGTCAAAAGGAATCCTGTTAGCAATTATTCTCTCAAATCCCTCTACCATTCAAATTAGGATTTGTCTGCCATTCACGTGGAAGCAGTTAAAGCTTGTTGGTCTCATTTCCTCAGGTTGTGAGCTAACCTGGCTCACACTGCCTCTGCCTTCGGAGGGAATCCTCTAAGAAAATAATCATAATGTGCACAAAAGCCTCATTCACTGCAGCAGGTACAGCACTGTGCCTGTGGCTACGGGCTGCCCCATTTTTTATCAATAAAGAGGGTTTTAAATGTCCACTGGTGTGTTGTGTCTGTTCCACAAAGCAGCAAGAATCTTAAATGCAAAGAGCACCTACTCATGTTACAGATTTTTCAGGCAATATCTTTAATTTATTTCTGTTTCTTTGCCCAACCAAACATGTTTGTTTTTATAGAAACTTCCAGGCTACAAAGTCAGGCACCAGCCTGAGAAACAGCAGAACTGAGATTGTTGGTACCACCTTAGTTTGGACAATGAATATCAGGGATGTCATTTTATTGTCCCACTTGTTTCTCTGGGTCTCAGCCTCCCTCCTGCCCTCTGCCCCAATGTAGGTGTGTAGTGACTGCTCATCCCACAGGATTTCTCTGGCTCTCTGCAGCTCTGCCCTGCTGAACTCCAGCCCCTCTCCCAGCCTTATATCCCATTTTTATACCCCCAGAGCAGCTGCCTCCCTCGGCATTTTCTCCCTGAGGGATTCAGGCTTTTGCTCTTGGAGTTCAAACCAGGTTTTTATAATCACAGTGCTGTGGAGGTTGGTTTTGTTGCTGTGTTGCTGTTCTCATTTATTGTTGCTCTGTCCCTGCAGCTGCCCTGACCTGCTGAGCCCCATCCCGTGGTGCAGAGGGACAGTGCCCGCTGTGCTGTGACCTGAGCCATGGGGGACAGAGCGAGGCACTGAGGGGCATCAACGCTGCTGCCCACCTCAACAGGATTGCTATTAAAAAGGTGGGAAATCTGAGCGCTTTTTAATGGAATTTTGTGGTATAACCATCCCGTGATTCCATGAAAATAGAGTAGAAATAAAATCTTCCCAGTGGTTGCTGTCTCTGAGCTGTGGCAGTGCTGGGGGCTGCGTGGATGTCCCTCCTGAGCATCCACACCCTGTGTGCTGTGTGGGTTCCACATCCTCTGTCCTGTGTGGGTTCCACATCCTCTGTGGGTTCCATATCCTCTGCCTCTGTCCTGTGTGGATCCCACACCCTCTGTCCTGTGTGGATCCCACACCCTCTGTGGGTTCCAGTGCAGATGAAGGAACAGGACACTGCCTGGCAGGAGGGTGCAGCCAGGGGGATCAGGCCCTGCTCCCAGGGAACAAGGGATGGGACAAACAGCTGCATCAGGGGAGTTTCAGGCTGGATACTGGGCTGCTCTCCGTGGAAAGGTCTGTCCAGCCCTGGCACAGTGGCCCAGAGCAGCTGTGAAGTCCCCAGACCTGGAGGGGTTTAAAAGCCGCGTGGATGCGGCCCCTGGGGACAGGGGCACTGGCAGCGGGGAACGGTTGGACTTGGTGGTCTCAGAGGGTTTTTCCACCCCAACAAAGCTGTGATTGCACACTTAGCCCAGGGACTGCAGCCCCTGAGCCACGGGGGTGTTGTGCTGTGTCCCTCTGCCCGGCGGTGACAGCGCTGTCCCTCCTCGCAGGCCCCAGAAGATGTGAGCGGAGCCGCCGGGGCCGGGGCCATCGTCACCATGGCCAAGAGGGGCTCCAGCAGCCGCGCCAGGGGGGACAAGCCCGACGCCCTGGCCGCCCTGCAGGCTGCCAACGAGGAGCTCAGGGCCAAGCTCACCGACATCCAGATCGAGCTCCAGCAGGAGAAGAGTAAGGTGGGCAGCTTCCCTTCCTTGGAGTGCGACTCGCTGTTCAGAGCGGTCAGAAGTGCCAGCATTCTCTTTGCTGGTTCTTCTCCTTCCCTTTTACCCCAATTTCATTTGGATTTTGCACTCAGACTCCTCCAAACTGGCTGCTTACACACGTACAGTACGAAACCTCAGCTCTGTCTCCTGTGCCCATTCCCAGATTCCGCAGACACAGCTTCTCCCTGAGCCTTTGGGAGAGGGACAGCTGGATAGGGCTGGAGCCTCAGCTCTCGAGTTTCCAGCTCTTGCCCTCAGATCACTTCTCAGCAAGAGCATGGAATATTCATTTGCTTTTCCCTAATTCCCCAAATCGGTTTCCACTGATAAACTTTGGGGGTTTTTGGTTCCAGAACAGGAACGTGTTACCATGCGGAGACAAAATGATAGTCTGCATTTTTCCATGAATTTACATCATTATCAGGCATTTTACAGCTTGACTCCGACACACACGTGCACAGAAACAGAACATCTGTTAATCCTTTTGCTGTGAAGCAACATTTGCAGCTTTAAGGACTTTGTTTTCCTTCTTCCCGTCCTTCACAGCCACTTCTGGCCATGGCTTCTCTGGAGTTTATGGCATGGTTTTAAATTGAAGCATCACTTGAGCCTCGTGTGGTCAGGTACAGACAGTTATTTCTGCTGAATAATTCATCACTTAAAAAGCATCAGGTTAAATGCAGCTGTTTGGGGCTTCACAGGAGCTTGCACTGAGCTTTTTGTGTCTTGCCTGTGCACGTGCAGGTTTGGTCTGCGTGCCTGAGCGTGCCAGTGATGGCCTTGGCATCTGATTTTCCCCTTACTTTGGGGGGAATGTGCTGGGAGAGCTTCTGCAGAATAGAGTAAGGACTCAGACTTACTCAGAAGGCACTGACTGATGCCTAAATGTGTATTAAACATGAGCCTGCAGTGAAAGAAAGGTCTTTGCTACCACCAGTTTGTAGACACAGACATACCAACATTGAGGTGTGATGCTGTAAAGACATCTGTACCACTTTTAAATAACACCATGATATGCAGTCATTGTTTGGCTGATTGAAAATTCTATACTTTTTTGATTTTCATTACAGGTCAGCAAGTTGGAAAGGGAGAAAAATCAGGAAGTGAAGCAGATCAAGGAGCACGAACAGCATAAAAGCACAGTGGTGGTCACAGAGCTCAAAGTCAAACTTCATGAAGACAAAATGAAAGAGCTCCAAGCTGTTCGAGAAACACTTCTGAGACAGCACGAAGCTGAGCTACTCAGAGTAATAAAAATAAAAGATAATGAAATCCAGAGGCTGCAGACCCTGCTCAACGCCGTGCGGGACGGGGCCCCGGACAAGGTGAAAACGGTGCTGCTCACCGAGGCCAAGGAGGAGGCCAAGAAGGGCTTCGAGGTGGAGAAAATCAAAATGCAGCAAGAAATTTCTGAGCTGAAGGGGGCTAAGAAACAGGTGGAGGAGGCTCTCACGATGGTCATCCAAGCTGACAAAATCAAAGCAGCAGAGATCAGGAGCGTGTATCACCTGCACCAGGAGGAGATCACCAGGATCAAGAGGGAGTGCGAGAGGGAAATCCGCAGGCTGGTACGTGCTGCTCTCTGCTCCTCTGCTTGTGCTGTTGAGGGGAAATGATCAGTGCTGGAATCACTGGGCAGGTGTTGAAACTTCAGGCCTTGCTCCAGGTCTGTTTTACATTTACTAGCAGAAAGGGCAGAGTAGTTTTTAGAAGTATTAGGATGTTTTGTAAGAAACTTCCTTATCCATGTCACAGCCTGCTGATGTTGTTCACATTAAAGGTATCAGGAAGAGCCCTCAGGTTCCTGGCTGGTCAGGGGAATGCTACAGCAGTTGTGTTTCTTGGGTTATGCCTCTATTTCCTCACCAAGTGTTCCTTCCTGATCCACCTTGGTCCTCCCTTTCCCTGCCTTTGCCAGTTCCCACAAACACCCCATAGTGAGGCTGACACAATCCCAAATGTTCATTTTCTGCACCCTGAGTGCTGCACACGCAGCAGGGCATTCAGGGGAGTTCCTCTCCACATCCACCCTGCTGGTTTTCCCAGGCCAGGGGTTGTTTCTGCTGCTCTGGGGGCTCCCAGCTGAGCAGGTCCCTGGGATCTCACCTGGCACTCAGGGACCCTCTGTGTCCTGCTCAGCCTGTCCTCACCTAATCCTGGTTTCATCCTCAGCTGCAGCAGCTCCAGTCTCCAAGGCAAGAGCTTCACACCTGTGGCTTTGGAGCTTCCCTCTGGCGTGTGTGGGAGCTGGCTGGGGCTGGTGGTGCTTGGAAAAGGAGGGAAATCCCTGTGGGAGGGAGCTCCCTCACAGGGGAGCCTCTGCAGCAGAGCCTGGCAGGCCACCAGCACCTTCTGGGGCTCAGGGGGTTCACTGTCTGCTGCAGACCCTGCCTTGTGACTCCTGAGTGCAGGCAGCGTGTCCCTGAGTGCTGCTGCCCTTCCCAGGGACGTGGGGACACCCCCGTGCTCCTGGGATGAGTGTTTGGGTCTTGTCTCAGTATTTTTGTGGTGTCACCATCGTTTTGTGTTTGCCACGCTGCTTTACAGCATTCAGTGTCCTGCTACAAACCCATCCAGGTCTCTTCTAAGTCATTAGCTCTTAGCTGTTATCCAAATTCTGAAACAAATTCAGAATGCAGCTGGGCCCCAGATCAAGGGCTGGCAGCGTGACCACGCTGCAGAGAGCACCTGCAGAGCCTCCTGCCCTGGCAGGATGCTGCTGCAGCATCCCCTGAGCCCCAAAGGGCCTGGCAGGCACTGACACACCAGCAGGGGAGTGTCCCCTACCTTTATTTAGCCTCCTCTTCTCTCAGACTTCAGGCTGTTACTGTTTTTTCCATAAGTTATTTTTATGAAGAGGATATTAAAAATCATTTATAACCAAATGCTCTATTGATGCTGTTCAAACATCCTGCAGTGTAAGTACCTTCTCCAACCACACATCACTGGTGCATTGATTTCATACATCACACTGAATGGGGGGCTAATGGGCATCCTAAATAAACTTGCTGCATCACAAGGAAAGTCCTCACTAATGGCCTTTAATGTAGAAGCTGTAAAATAAATATGGGATATATTTAATATAGGAAATAGAGTGGTTCAACAGGATGTTTTCTAAACTGCCTCTGAAAATCAAACCTTTTTAAAGTTCCTGCTTGAAAGAATCAGATTGGCTCACTGCACCAAGGAAATGACCTGGTGCTGTGATTTTACCAAGCCCTGAGAGCTTCCTGGGTGCTCTCAGCTCCATGGACCCCACCCTCAGCTGCTCTGGAGGGAGCTGCTGGCTCCTGGCACCTTGTGGGGAGTCTGGGGTGAAAGGCTGTGCAGTGCCCTGGTAACAGGGAATTGGGGAGTCACTGACACTTTTGACAGCACCTGTCACCCTGCAAGGGCCCCAGGAGCGTGGGGCCAGGCCCTACAGCCAGGGTTTGAATGAGGATGGAAATAATAACCTGGAGAGCGTCGCGGCCCAAGGCCACGTGTGGGGCTCGGGAGGAGCAGCAAGCACATCTCCCCATGGCCAGCTCCCTGACTGGCACCAGCTCTGCTCCTGTGGGGCTGCTGGAGGATGAGCAGACACATAAATATTCATCCAGGAGTGGCAGTGGGAGGCTGGCAGGTGGTTGGATGCTCCTGCGCTGCCGCCTCTTCCCGAGCTCCAGAGCCAGCAGGCAGGGTGGGAGCAGGGAGAGGAGCCAGAGCCCTGCTCCAGGACCAGAACAGCACAGAGCAGAGCAGAACTGGACAGAACTGAACAGCACAGAACAGCACAGAACAGCACAGAACAGCACAGAACAACCCAGCCCAGCACAGCCCAGCATGAGGCCAGGCTGGCCCTGCCTGGGGGCTGCGTGCCCACGGACCCGCACCGCTGCCAGTGAGTCCCGGGGCCCTCAGCCCTTCCTTCCCTCCCTGCCTTCATTCGGGGGCTGAGGGACATCTTTCCCTTCCATCTCTGCCGTTTCCATGCTGTCTCTGTCTAACAGGGGGCTGCAGGCACCAAGCCTGAGCGTGTGTCGTGTACGGGAATTGAGTCAGGTGAAGGGAGATGTCAGTGCTGATGTTTGCTTGTGGTTTATGAAGGTTATGTTTAGGGATTTTTGCCTTTTTCTGGAAAACAAGCCGTCAGTGAAATGCTGTGAAATGTTTTGTGTTTTCTCATCTCTTTGTTCCTCCCAATTTCATGTGTTGCCTTTGTTGTAATGTGTCTTTGTTTCTATAAAAATAAGAATCAACCCAATATTCTGCTTATTTTAAACAAATAATCATTTGATGATGTGTTTTCTTTTCATCTGTACATCCATTTAGATTGCTCCTCATTAGGCATTCAGCAGAAAGACCTCAGGTGCTCGAGAGCACCTATGTCTTTGTTTCATTCAAAGTCAGCAGCCGCTGCCTTCATGGACATTTTTGGAAGGATCTTTAGTCAATGGCACCTGAAATCCTTTTCATCTGCTCCATTTTGCTTTCCTGATACCTGTGTGACCTGCCAGCACCTGTCCTGGGTGGGCCACATCGACATTTACTGCAAACAAAGTCCTTGGAGTGACTCTTGATTCCCAATGCCATTTTTTTCCAGGTTTACAGACAAAGCAGAGACAAAAGTATTAACACAGCTCTTACAAAGCAAAATGTTCTTATTTGAAGCAGGCCAGGGTTAAAAAGTGACCATTGAATTTAGAAGTGTGAATTCCCAAGGAGGGATGGCAGAGGTGCTGTGTTTGTGGAAAGCAGCTGGCAGAGCCCTGGGGGATGGATGTGGTTTCTGTGGATTGTGGATCCGTGTCCATGATCCCCCCTGATCCCTGCAGGATCAGTTCTGGGCCGGGACAGCCCCAGCTGGGCTGGCACCAGGGCTGTGAGTCCCAGGGAGCTCCAGCCACAGCCCAGGGGTGGGATCCTGGCCCATCCCATGGGATGTGCACAGGCCCCTGGCACAGGCAGACAGGGACAGAGAGCATTAGAGGTCACTGGGCATTTGTCATTTAAGCACTTCATGATTTTGCATAATCTTTGTTATGTGCAAATAAAACCTCTTATGGAAAGGGAATTGCTCACAAGGGACACTTTTGGAAAATAAAAAAATTAAAAACCCACATTTCTTCTAGGAATTTTGAAAATTTAAAGGATACTGAGGTTTCAATATATTTTTTTTAAATGATTAATCCAAATTTTCCAGAGGTGACATCCAAGCAAAACACTGCAGAATCATTAAAGTGTTTGAGTGAAGCTGTCAAAGTGCGATGCCAATGTCAAGCTTTAATTCTCTTTCAGCTATTCTGAAGTGGTGATAGGATTCCAGGCTGTTCCCCAGTATTTCAATGCCAAGCTGCCTGCTGCAGGAGGGGTTGCTGCGGCGTGGCCCTGGGGCAGGGTGCCCGGTGTCCCTGTCCCTGCCGTGGTGGCAGGACAGCGATGCCGTGTCACCGCGGGGTGCTCGGGGTGCTGCCGAGCCACTGAGTGATTGTGTTCTGTTCTCCTTGTAGATGGAGGAGATTAAGTTTAAGGACAGAGCAGTCTTCGTGCTGGAGAGAGAGTTAGGGGTGCGAGCCGGGCATGCTCAGAGACTGCAGCTCCAAAAGGAGGCTTTAGATGAACAACTGTCCCAGCTCAAAGAGTCTGACCGGCATCTGAGCAGCCCCAAGCGGGAACTTCCTTATGCAAGTGGTGCAGGAGACGCTTCAGATCATTCGGGAAGCCCCGTAAGCACTTCCACATGGTTTCACCTGAACGAGCACCCAAATGGCACCGAGGGACGGAATCTTGATGAGCTCCCCCCGAGCCAGAGCTGTCCCATGGCTGCACAGGGGCACCTGCTCTCGTTTTTGCCGTGCCCAAAGCCTTGAGATTTCCAATCAAACCTCGCCATGGGAGAGCTTTTGCTTTCTGTCGTTTTGTTTCCCGGTCGGTTTGGTTTGGTTCTGTCAGCAGGGTGAAATTCCTCTGTTCTTTTCTCCTTTTCCTCACTGTACCATGCTCAGCCACCCGCCTCAGTCTGACAGTTTGACACGATTCTGCCAACAAACGATGCAAATGCATTTCTCAGCAGGTGCTGTTTGTGTGCGAGCTCTGGAGGCGCGAGCTGGGGCTGGGGGAGCAGATGTACGAGGCCAGTTCCAGGGGGAAGGGGCAGGGCAGCACAGAGACCCTGCAGCCCCCAGGGCATCCTTTTCCTGCTGCTCTGGCCATCAGCAGGACACAAAGTGGGCCAAAGACCTCCTAACCTATTATCTCCTGATTATTCTCTGCAATAACCAGAACACTGGATTGGAGAAACCCCTCCCCAAAACCTTTTGAGTGTAACCCTGGCACCTCCCTGCTTGGGCCTCCTTTTGCCCAGAAGTGCCCTCGGGTAACTGCCCTCGTGCCTCTGACGTGTGCAGGTCATCCTCATCGCTGATCCTCATCAAGATTTCTTTTGCGACAGCCCTGATTGTCTCAGTGCAAGTGTAAAACTTATACCTGAGCAAAGCAATCTATTTTATTCTTTGGCCCAAGCCTCTCCTGCACCTGTTGAATGAGGAACCCTAGACCTCCCAAAAGTGCCACCAGCACTGTGGGCACTAATTTGCCTCTCTCTGGTTGTACTCAACTTCTGCCAAAGACCAGAATGAGTTGTAGAGAAGGGGGAAAGTCTGTCACGTTTGTCAGGAGCTGTAACTCCTCTCTGATTCTGAATGAGAACACATCTACCTGTATCTCCACTCATTGCTAATTTGATTTAAGCATTTTCACTCAGATAAAGTGCTACCCCTGTGGCCTTACAAGTGACCCTTTAGGACCCCATAAGGGCCACAGTTTTCTGGAAGAAGAGCTTATTCGATGCACAATTGCATGGATTTTCCCCATTCAGTAATTCAATAATTTCACTACCAGTGTCTTACGACCAAGTGCTCAGAGTGGGCGATGTGTCTGAAGCTCTCAGTTCAACAGTGGCATCATTGGGACACGGCCTTCCGTTTTGATATTTTTCTGTTGTTTCCAAGTTTACCATTTGTAAACTTTGTATTTGCACATTTGTGACTTTGTATTTGCATATGCATATACAGATACATATGCACATACACACCTCTGCATTTGCATTCTTTGTTACATCTCCACTCCCCACTTTCCATTGGTGTCACCCTGCAGCTTTCCGTGGCCACTCGGGTTCCATGGCTTACACTCTGCTCAGTAACGTTTTTAAATGTGTGGATCTGGGATAAGAAAATTAGCTTTGCCAGCGTGCTCTTGCGTGTGCACTTATCAGCAGTTATTTGCAGTTGATCTTTGTTTTAGGAACAGCAGTTGGATGAAAAGGATGCCCGGCGCTTCCAGCTGAAAATCGCGGAGCTGAGCGGGATCATCCGCAAGCTGGAGGACAGGAACGCGCTGCTGTCGGAGGAGAGGAACGAGCTGGTGAGTGCAGCAGTGCCAGGGTGTCCTAGTTTAGGGCAAATCAGGATGGAAAACTCCAAATGGGGATCTCCACAGGGAAATGCCCCTCCCCACCAACAGGTCCGGGAAAAGGGAAAAAAAAAATTCCGTGGAGAGAAGTGGAAAAAGCTGTTTATTTAACAGAAATTGAGTAATATTAAATAATAAAACCTCTTGCTGTTCGATGGGATGGTAAGTCTAGGAAGAAAAGTCTTTTTTCATGTGGTGTAGCTTGGCTCGCTCAGGTTCTTATCAGTCTCTCCAGCGCTGGAAAGTGCCGAGGCCCAGGCCCCGGTGGGCCACAGGCGTGAGCTCCCGGGGTTTGGCTGGGTGTTCAGTCCAGGGCAGGCTTGCACAGATCCAAGAAAATTGGAGAAAAAAACAAAGGTCCAGGGAACTCCTCTGCCTCAGCTAGCTAAAACTAACTAAAAGTCAGAGAGAAGCTCTGTCCCGCTGTCTGTCTGTGCTGCCGACACCACAGTCCAGGAGCGGGGTGTGTGGGAGTGATGTTTTCCTTAACACACTGTGCGCTTCTTCTTCCCCCTCTCTTGCTCTCAAAGCCAGTCTTAAAGGTGCAGGACTTAATATATAACATAAACCGGACGATTGGGGATACCAGTATCATAAAGTCACCCCAGGACACAGGGCTCGGGGCCCAGGGACACCCAGGTGTTTGCTCCTGTGCTCTGTGGAGACGAGGAGCTGCCTCTCCTCAGCTCGGTGCTCGGGGCTGTGCCGCCTCCCTCCCCTCTTGGCTCGTACAACAATGGCATCAGCTCAAATGGTGTTTATTTCTTTTCAAAAAAAAGTTTGAACCTTTGAACCCACCCTGAACACTTGCTGCTCAGGTAGAATATCTTCTCATGTAGGAATGCTCTCTTCCCAATGGAAAGTCCCAAGAGTTTCTGATCAGTTCTGCTTTGTATCAGGAGAAAATACTTCTAGTGTGATAGTTACAGAGCATAGTTAATGGATTTGATGAAAAGCTGCAGAGGTGTACTTTTTCTCTTCATCTTTCAGTTGAAACGTCTCAGAGAAGCAGAAAGTCAGTATAAGCCCATTTTGGACAAAAACAAGCGCCTCAGCAGGAAGAATGAGGAGTTGTCACATGCCTTACGTAGAATGGAGAATAAATTGAAATTTGTGACGCAGGAAAATATTGCAATGGTGAGTGCCTGTGCTGCTGGGAGAAGGTGGGAACTGGAGCTGGGGCTGGAGCTGGAGCTGGGGCTGGAGATGGGGCTGGAGCTGGGGATGGGGCTGGAGGTGGGGATGGGGCTGNGGGCTGGGAATGGGGCTGGGGCTGGAACTGGAGCTGGGGCTGGGCAGGCTGAGGGAGGCAGGCACTGGCCCACACTTGCAGGTTCCATGGGAAGCTGTTCCATTCTGGCAAGGTCCCTTCCGACCCAAACTGATCTGGTGTTGTGTGATTCACCTTCAGCTCTCCTGCCAGAGCCACCCCACAGTCCCTGGGAAAGCTGCCCTTGGGACTCTGCCCCTTTTTCCAGCTGGGGGAGCAGGACCATCTGGCACATTTGGAGCCCGGATGTGAGGCTCAGCAAAAAGGGAGCAGGAGAGCTGCCAGGGCAAGCATTAGAGAGATGCTCCTCTTGCTGTAAAGGGAAGGGCCAGACAAGTCCCTGGCAAAGCCTCCTGATCATTTCCTCTTCTGCCCTGTGGTTTTTGGATTCTAGAGGCAAAGAACTGGAGCAATAAGGAGACCAAGCTCCCTAAATGACCTTGACCACAGCCAGGAAGAAAGGGAAGTGGATTTCCTGAGACTACAAGTTATTGAGCAGCAAAACATCATTGATGAGCTCTCCAAGGTAGGATGGGAGGTGCTGCTCGTGAGAGTGACCCCAAGGAAGGGTACTCAAGGCTCTGGAGCTGGGGGGGCTCTGGGAGCAGGGGGCTCAGTGGGCAGCAGGGGAGCCTGGCAGGCATTTCTGTGCTTAGCAGTAATATAAATTATCTGTGTTGTGGTGCTTGGGAAATCCCTTTCAGTCTGCACTGGCCTGGCGTGAGAGAACCATGTCCTCACATGTGCTGGTGCCAGATCTGGGAGGGAAACTGCCCGAGCTCCTTCAGCTGCAGACACCAGCGGGACTGAAGATTCATTCCTGTGTGCAGGGGGTGCTCTGCACTCCTGGGTTGTGCTTCATTCTAACCATGTTCCCAGCCCTTGGAAACAGAAAACACCAAAATCATGATACTTCTCTAGAAAATAGCTTTTATTTCTTCCCTTTCTTTTTAAGCCTGTCCAGTTACTGACATTATTTCATTCTTTTTCATTAGACCCTGGAGACTGCTGGCTATGTGAAGAGTGTCATGGTAAGAGTGACATTAACTTCCTCCTCATCTGTACATGCTTTAAATTTCTGTTCATGGAAAGCAGGCAGGGTACAATAATACTTACTCTCCCTTCCATCTGTGCTCAGCAGTGAGCTGACCCAGGGGTCTCCTCAGAGCAGATTTTTTACCAGCAGTTACTCACCTGAGAAAAGCACAGTGACAGTGGGGAGGAAGGCTTTAATCCCATCACCTTCCCTGATGGCCAAGAACAAGTGTCCCCATCTCCAGGGCAGCTCTGTCACCTTGGAACTGCATTTTTTCACTCTGGCTACCCCTGGCTTTGTGTCATGGCCAGCAGGGCGTGCTCAGCCCTGCCCTTGCCCCATGGCCCATGCCTGTGCTGTGGGGTTACAGCAGGGATGGATATTGATGGGCTGTGCTGTTCCCATCAGCAGGCAGAGTTCGATTGTCCTGCTGCTGGTCTTGGGAAGGGCCACAGGCAGCAGCACGTGTCATTGTCCCCAGTGCCACCACAGCCCTGTGCCCAGCAGCTAAAATGAAACAGCTCAGGGGGTCCCCTCAGAGCTTCCCTCTCTGCAGTCCTGGGCTTCACAAGTCCAGAACAGAGATGTTCTTCTGAGAACTGTAAAAAATCAACATAACTCCATAAAGAGGGAGAAATTCTTCCCTGGCAGGGTGGGCAGGCCCTGGCACAGGTGCCCAGAGCAGCTGGGGCTGCCCCTGGATCCCTGGCAGTGCCCAAGGCCAGGCTGGACATTGGGGCTGGAGCAGCTGGGACAGGGGAAGGTGTCCCTGCCATGGCTGGGGTGAAAGGAGGTGATATTTAACATCCCTCCAACCTGGAATTTAATTATTCTATTATCTCCTCCAACTGGAAAAACCACTGGCAGCAGTAAATACTCAAACCTTACTCCAGAGGCACGGGGAACCTGTAGGTCCTGAGAGAAGGAGCTGAGCCTGCAGGTGCTGAGTTCAGAGGCCCTGGAACGTGAGCAGTGGGGCTGTTGGGTGTGTGCAGCTTCCAGAGCCACCAGAGCCAGGGCTGCAGTGCCATGGTCACCCCTGGAGCAGCTCCAAGGGCACACACAAACTCTCAGCACAAAGCTGATCATCAGCTTGCTTTTAGTTTGATTTCCATGGACATAAAGAGCAATTTCTAGCTGTCTGTGGCAAGCCTGACAGATGGAGTGACCCACCCTGGGCTGGTGACAGCGTGGGACAGTGGCCAGCAGGGAATTCCTGTCTGCTGCTTCCTTGTACTGCCATGGTTGATTGGAATAACTGCTCTCTGCAAACAGCCAACACGTGTCCCTGACTCTTGCAGGAACGGGATAAGCTGCTAAGGTTCAGGAAGCAAAGGAAAAAAATGACAAGAATTCCTAAGGTAAAAAACAAAACCTTCTGTGGTGATGTGCTGGGGTGCTCAGGCAATGATCCCCTTAAGGGTCTGCACATGGGTCCTAAACTTAAACTTGGGTGCTGTGGTTCAAGGACATTCCCAGACTGTTTTGGGATATTGAAGGAGGGGGGCAGGGGTCTTGTTTGCATGGAGCATTCTGAGCCTTTTCATGCTCTGCATTTACCCTGTGGGACTTTGGTGGGATGTGGTTGTCTTGAGAGGAGACACATTTTATGAATTAACACATCTCCAAATGATCTTCTAATGGTGCTGCCTGCAAACACATGTATGTTGTGAATAATTCATGATGGAGTTTAGTAACATGTGAAAATTGCTGGTTAGGGAGGCAATGGTTAGAGCTCAGGGAAAAGGGAGTGTTGGTTAATGAGGGCTTGGCAGGGTGTTACTGTAAATATTAACACTAAAATGTCACAGCAAGGTTTAATGTCAGGGGCTGCCAGAGTGCTGTGATCCAGGGATGCAGAATTAGATTGAGGCTGGAGCTAATGAATCTATGAATAACTAATTGAGGTCGATGGGAGATAGCTCCTGTCATCCTGAAAATCACATCCAGGCCTTCCAGGGACTCACTGCGTGGGGCTTTGGACAAGGGATGGAGGGACAGGACACAGGGAATGGCTCCCAGTGCCAGAGGGCAGGGCTGGGTGGGATTTTGGGCAGGAATTGTTCCTGGCAGGGTGGGCAGGCCCTGGCACAGGTGCCCAGAGCAGCTGGGGCTGCCCCTGGATCCCTGGCAGTGCCCAAGGCCAGGCTGGACATTGGGGCTGGAGCCTCCCACATTGTGTCCCTTCCACATTCTGGGATTCTCCTTCAAAAGTTACTCACTGCAAATTAAAACCAAAGGCCAAAATCTGGATATGTTTTTTGTAAATTATCAGTTAAAAATATCTGTAGATCTGTGAAGTGTTGTCTTTGACTTTCAAGCATTTACAGTAAATCTTTCTTTACCACCATTCCTTTAAACAAAACACAGCTTTGAGAGGAAAACTGGATTTCTTCAAACCATAGACACGCTGCTGTGGTGATTAACTTCAAGTAGAATACTTTTTGAAGATCTAACTTTTCATGTGAAAGCTGTGGTGCTGACAGGAGGGACACCATGCTGGTGGCAGTGGATTAAAAGACATTTCAGTGCACAGCTCTCCCCTCGTGCTGAGGTGAACATTCAAAATAAAAGAGTGCTTAGCCATAGAGAAACTGGTAGGAAAATGCATCTTAAAAGGCAGGGCCTGGGAGAACTCACAGATGTGCCAGTTCAGGGATTCAGATGGTTTCAGGTACCATTTGAGCTCTGTATGGGGTGAAAGATTTGATAAATACATGTGTGAAGGACTGGGCTGGTTCTGGAAGAGCAGCAGAGCGAGAATTGCCAGCACCTGGAGCTGGGGCTGCTGCAGGAGCCGTGTCCTGCCCCCAGGGCAGTGTGTCCATGTGCCAGGGCAGTCTGTCCATGTGCCAGGGCAGTCTGTCCTGCCCCCAGGGCAGTGTATCCATGTGCCAGGGCAGTGTGTCCATGTGCCAGGGCAGTGTGTCCATGTGCCAGGGCAGTGTGTCCCTGTGCCAGGGCAGTGTGTCCATGTGCCAGGGCAGTGTGTCCATGTGCCAGGGCAGTGTGTCCAGCCCCCAGGGCAGTGTGTCCATGTGCCAGGGTAGTGTGTCCATGTGCCAGGGCAGTGTGTCCCTGTGCCAGGGCAGTCTGTCCATGTGCCAGGGCAGTCTGTCCATGTGCCAGGGCAGTGTGTCCTGCCCCCAGGGCAGTGTGTCCATGTGCCAGGGCAGTGTGTCCAGCCCCCAGGGCAGTGTGTCCATGTGCCAGGGCAGTGTGTGCAGCCCCCAGGGCAGTGTGTCCAGCCCCCAGGGCAGTGTGTCCATGTGCCAGGGCAGTCTGTCCATGTGCCAGGGCAGTGTGTCCAGCCCCCAGGGCAGTGTGTCCAGCCCCCAGGGCAGTGTGTCCATGTGCCAGGGCAGTGTGTGCAGCCCCCAGGGCAGTGTGTCCATGTGCCAGGGCAGTGTGTGCAGCCCCCAGGGCAGTGTGTCCAGCCCCCAGGGCAGTGTGTCCATGTGCCAGGGCAGTGTGTGCAGCCCCCAGGGCAGTCTGTCCATGTGCCAGGGCAGTGTGTCCAGCCCCCAGGGCAGTGTGTCCCTGTGCCAGGGCAGTGTGTCCATGTGCCAGGGCAGTGTGTCCATGTGCCAGGGCAGTGTGTCCATGTGCCAGGGCAGTGTGTCCATGTGCCAGGGCAGTGTGTCCTGCCCCCAGGGCAGTGTGTCCAGCCCCCAGGGCAGTGTGTCCATGTGCCAGGGCAGTGTGTCCATGCCCCCAGGGCAGTGTGTCCATGTGCCAGGGCAGTGTGTCCAGCCCCCAGGGCAGTGTGTCCAGGTGCCAGGGCAGTGTGTCCAGCCCCCAGAGCAGTCTGTCCAGGTGCCAGGGCTGCTCCCTGGGCTCCCTGACCCTGCTCTCTGTCAGAAGCCGGTGGTGGAGACGTTCTATGGCTATGATGAGGAGGCTTCCCTGGAGTCTGATGGTTCCTCCATCTCCTACCAAACGGACCGGACTGACCAGACCCCCTGCACGCCTGAGGATGACCTGGAAGAGGTAATCCTCAAAAATCCCTCTTGGTTTGCTTCTACCCTTGATACTGGCTTTGAATGAAATTCCTGCTCTGTTGCATCATTTCTCATATCATCTCTCATATCTGTTCTATCGTTCTGTCACCCCAGACCACAAAATGAAACATTTCTGTTGAATTTGGTGCTGTGCATGTTGGTCAGTATCTCTAAATCTTAGGTCTTCAATAATTTCACAACTTCCAGCCAAGCTGGAAATCTCATATCCTAGGAATATTGAATTTATGGCAGGTTTGCAGGTGAGTAAAACTGAGAAATTGGACAGCCCTTGTTAGATGTGTTCACTCTGCGCCTGGCTGCAGATTTTGGCATGTGTCATTTGGGCCAGCCAGGCTCAGCACAGAGCAGTAAGGTCTGTGTTTGTGCAAGGAGAAGGGAATGTTCCCCAGGAGCTCTGGGCTCCAGGGAAATGCTGACTCCTGCTCGCTCCCGGAGGCTCTGGGAACAGAGCACACAAATGTAATACAAATTAAAGGGATTATTCCAAGTATTTGCCAGGGCTTCCCCAGAAATGCATTCCCCAGTGTGTGTCAGTTCACTGGACCATTACACAGCTCTGGGCTTAACAAGAATCCTGTAATAAACACAAATTGCCACTGATGATGTGCAGCCTTTTCACACTGCAGGTGTGGAATTGCTAAAGGGAACCTGCCCAATCCCTCACTCTGTCAGGGAAGGTACCTGGTGCTGTGCTGTGCTGCAGGAAATCTGAGTGTGTTTGTGTGGCTGTGAGCCTGTGTGCTCCCATTGCTGTGCTGCAGGAAATCTGAGTGTGTTTGTGGCTGTGAGCCTGTGTGCTCCCATTGCTGTGCTGCAGGAAATCTGAGTGTGTTTGTGTGGCTGTGAGCTGTGTGCTCCCATTGCTGTGCTGACATCCTCCCCCTGTTCAGCCAGTGGGAAGGTGATGCATGCACCCAGCAGTGTAATTCCATTTGAGTGAAATATTCCGCTCAGCCTGACATGAAAGCATTCCATACTGGATGTTGTAAGGAGGGTGAAGAAGATGAAGGGCTCCTTTCATGTTGCTGTCACCACTTCTACAACTATTAACTCTGGATTCGTGTTTTAATAATTGAGTGAGGCTGTCAGGCTTGGTTTCCTTTCCAAATTGAAAACCTTTTGTTGTTAAAGAAAGCTGCATTTTTAACTTTAACGTGGTGATTTTCCCTGTTCCAGTCAGAAAGGGTGGTGCAGTCATTAGTGTGCTGTATGGAAGGTAAGCTTTTATCTTTCCAAGGCAGGGATTATCTTTTTATTTCTGTATTGCCTTTCCTGGAGGTAAGAGACGTGTAGGGGATGGAGGGGAGCAGCTTGAGGGCACTTCACCAAGAGTTTTGGTACCATGCTTCCATATTGCACTTCCAAAGCGGTAATTTTACCACTTTTCAGAGGAAACAAAGCTGATCCCCTGTGTTTTTGTGCTGGCAGGGCATGGCCAAGGAGGAGACGGAGCTGCGGTTTCGGCAGCTGACCATGGAGTACCAGGCGCTGCAGCGCGCCTACGCCCTGCTGCAGGAGCAGGTCGGGGGCACCCTGGATGCAGAGCGAGAGGTTAAGGTCTGCATGGCTCATATTTCATGGAATGAGGGCTTGGAAGCGGGAGGGTGGCTGGGGGATCCCAGGGTCCCTGCTCAGGTTGTTCTGCAGCTCACCTGGGGCTCTGGGCTCGGTGACTCCTGCCAGCCTCCCTGGGAGGGGCTGCTGAGATTCCACCACGGCTGCAGCTCGGGCTTTTCACCTCTGACCAGTTTAAGGGAAATCCAGGGAGAATTTTTCATGGGAAATCCTTGAAAGTTAAGCTCTTTTTCTAGAAAGAATTAGGACAGATAGCCTTAAATATATAATGCATGGTCTTTAATTCCTTCTGGGCTCTGAGAGATTACATGATTCCTCATAAAATGTTTAGAAGGCTTATAGCTGAGATTTTTCTGTTAATTAAATTGCAAAGTGTCCTGTGCTGTTCTGCCTGTCTGCCTCACAGAGCTCCCGTGGCTCTGGGCAGCCAGCCCGAGGTGCTGCTTTTGTCAGGAGCTTGTTGTGTGCTCCAGGGAGTTCCAGAGGAATTGTTCCTGGCAGGGTGGGCAGGCCCTGGCACAGGTGCCCAGAGCAGCCCCTGGATCCCTGGCAGTGCCCAAGGCCAGGCTGGACATTGGGGCTGGAGCAGCTGGGACAGGGGAAGGTGTCCCTGCCATGGCAGGGGGACACTGGAGGGGATTTGGGGTCCCTCCAACCCAAACCATTCCAGGATTTTCTGAAGGGCTGGCAGGGTGGGTCATGGCTGCAAGGGTGAGTGCAGGGGAAGGGGACAGATTTACTGTTTAACAGGAGAAATGTGCCTGCAGAGCCTTCATTTGTTCCTACATCTGTCAAGATGTTATCAGGAGCATTTAGAGTGGGCCAAGGTGTAATGCAGGAAAACTGACATTCCCAGAGCTGTTCCCAGAATGAACATCTACTCTGAAACATCAGGGATTGCACCTGGAAACAAAACCCCAGTGAGCCAAGGCATGCCCAGCTGGGAGAGGAACTGGATTTTAGTTTTCTCATAGTGAGCCAAAGGAGGCCCCAGTGCAGGTCACAGAAACAGGATCCCTTCCAGTGTAAATAACGGGACAAGTGGCAGAGAAATGGTTCAAGGAAAGAAAATGTTCTATGAAAGTATGGAACAAATAAAACAACTAACAATAATCACATTTGTTCTCCAGAAAACATGCAGAGGAATGTCAGGTCTATTTAAATAAGATACAAATATAGTATAAAAATGAGACATGGGTATGGAAGAGATATGGCACTAAATGACTAAATCATGGATGAGGTTCTAAGTCATGGGAAAGGCACCAAAGGCACCAAGAAATTTGCCAGTTTGTAATGTGGGATCTGTTCTGAGGGTTCAATGTGCCCCAAATTGAAGGGAACCAGGCATGCCCAGAATTGTGCCACAATAGTTTCCATTTCTTTTCCTGGAGAAAGGGAACTGCAGCCTGCCAGGACCAGCTGGGAGGAGCCAGCTCTGCTTTGCCATTTTGTTAATCTTGAGTTAAATCTCAAAATCATTAATCCTGTCTCACAGATTTGATTTGATTACAGTTGATTATTTGATACTCTGTGCTCAGCTGCAAATTTCTTCTGCCAAAGAATTTTCAAAATCATTTGTTAAAAGCATTTGGTGTTTTAAATATTTTCTGTAACTGCATTAGGCTTGGTCCTTTGTAGAAAGTTTGATTTCTTTTTAAATTTATTTTTCAATTGTTCTGTATTGATTTTTGGGGTTTTTTTCACTTCTCTCTCATATCCCACAGACACGTGAGCAGCTCCAAGCAGAAATTCACCGCTCCCAGGCTCAGATAGAAGACCTGGAGAAGGCTCTGGCTGAGCAGGGACAGGTAATGCTTCTCCAGCCCCTTCCCCACCTCTCTGCTGGGGGATCAGGAAGGTTCCCAGGCTGCTTACAGCTTGTGTGCCACCTCTGCAGACAGGAAAACCCAACAACCAAACACAACAAAGCAAAAAAAGCCATCAACAAAACATCACAAAAAACAAACAGCAACAAAAAGCAAACAGAAAGTGGTTTTGAGAACAATATTAAATAATTCAATCATTGCCTTCCCAGCTTAAGCTCTTATTGTTGTTGTTGCTGAGAAACGATGTTCTGGGGTCTGTGGGTTTTATATATTCCTCAAACTAAGAGATTAGCTTCCAAATAAAGTTTAGTTTGCCTGATCTGCAGAAGTATGTAATTTGTATTTAGCAAAACAGAAATTTGATAGTAAACACATAGTTGGAAATGTCTCTTTTAATGCAAAGCAGATTTTACCTGAAAGAGTTTTTTAATCACTGGAATGTTTTAATGCCATTTGTGTACTACAGAGCTGTAAAATTATATGGACAAGTTTAGATGAGGAAGTTATTTTAGGAAGTAATGGCCTTACAGTTTCACAGCTGTCATTATTCTGTCCCCCTGTATGTGGGAATCAGTGAAATGCTGAACAGCATTGTTCATTTCCTTCCCAAGGACATGAAGTGGATTGAGGAGAAGCAGGCATTGTACAGAAGAAATCAGGAACTGGTAGAAAAGGTACTCTACTTTTCTGTTTGTATTATTCAAATAATATTTGTGGCTTGAGGCACACAGAAGGTGCAATAATCTAACCTGTAGGGCACAGCCCTGCTGAAGTAGTTCATGTTTAGTATGAGATCCTTAAAAACCTGCCAGAAGTGGGGTTCTGGCCTTTCCCATGGGACACCAGTGTCCTGGTGCATGAGTGACATCCCTGTGCCACAGCAGTGTCCTGGTGCATGAGTGACCTGGGGACATCCCTGTGCCACAGCAGTGTCCTGGTGCATGAGTGACATCCCTGTGCCACAGCAGTGTCCTGGTACATGAGTGACATCCCAGTGCCACAGCAGTGTCCTGGTACATGGGTGACATCCCTGTGCCACAGCAGTGTCCTGGCACATGCATGAGTGACCTGGGGACATCCCTGTGCCACAGCAGTGTCCTGGTACATGAGTGACATCCCTGTGCCACACCAGTGTCCTGGTACATGAGTGACATCCCAGTGCCACAGCAGTGTCCTGCTGCATGAGTGACCTGGGGACATCCCAGTGCCACAGCAGTGTCCTGGCACAAGGTGCATGAGTGACCTGGGGACATCCCTGTGCCATGAGTGACATCCCTGTGCCACAGCAGTGTCCTGGTACATGGGTGACATCCCAGTGCCACAGCAGTGTCCTGCTGCATGAGTGACCTGGGGACATCCCTGTGCCACACCAGTGTCCTGGCACAAGGTGCTGAGCAGCCTGGGGACATCCCTGTGCCACACCAGTGTCCTGGTGCATGAGTGACCTGGGCACAGGGCTGTGCCACAGCAGTGTCCTGGTGCATGAGT